CTTGGAGGCTGGCTCAGGAGTGGGCAGCGGTGCACATCTGTGCTTCCTTCAGGAGTACAGGGGTGAGAAGACACTGCCCAAGCTAAGGAGGGAGACAGGGCGAGCCTGGGACTCCATCAGGCCAGCGTGAGATGAAGGCATGGCTTGGCCATGTACTGTGTGGCCTGAGGTCTGTGGCCTAACCTCTCTGTGCCTCAGTTCCCTCCCCATCCAGTGGGGCTGTTGCAAGCACAGATAATGCCGGCAGCCTGGCTGCTAACGAGCGCTCAATTAGCAGGAGCTCCATTATCCTCATCATGGCTATTATTATGAGGGGATGATGAGAGAGAGAGAGAGGACGGTGGCAGGAGGAGGGACTGGAGGAAGGAAGAGCTTTGTGGGCAGACTGGCAGGGCCTCAGAGATAGACGCGGCTGGCGGGGGTGGGGGCTAGCCCCGCTGAGTTCTGCAGGGGGCTGGGGGGAGGTGGCCTGGGGTAACCAAGGGCCAGACTCAAGGCAAATCTCTTGTCATCTCTCCCCGAGTGTGCCTCAGCTACTGAGCAGGGACCCCACCGCCTTCTTCCCTATGGGACTAGGGAGATTCCGATGGACACCCACGGAAGGGACCGGCACGGTGCCACTGGTCAGGGACAGCGATTCAGAAGCAGCAAAAACAGCACAGGTGGGAAGCTCACAGCAGGCCGGGCCAGAGCCGGGGCGGCCTGGACAGGGAGTGAGAGGACCAGCCTCTGAGAGGGCAGAGCAGAGGCAGTGGGGTCGAGGAGAGAAGCACTGGGAGCTGCAAAGGTCAAACAGGACGTGAAGTGCAGTGAGGTCACCGACTTGGCAGCCAGACAGTCCTCACTGTCCAGGAGCTGGTGAGGCTTGGGGGAGTTGGCCTTGGGACTCCCCAGCCAGCCTGCATGGCTCCGCTGGCCCTCAGAGCAGGGATCCCCCCTGGCCGAGCTGACAGAACCCCCTGCCCCATGGTTGGCAACAAGCTTGGTGGGAGAGCCACGGCAGGTGGGCTGCAGGACCCCCACACGAGTCTCCTCGCCATCGCTGCACATGGACGTCATCGGACAAGCTGGCCAGGGTGGGTTCTGTAAACGCTGGTGGGATGCTTCCTGGCCACCACCAGTGTTAGGCTGCACCCACTTCCTGCCTCAGGGTGTGTCTCGAGGCCTCCTGAAGGTGTCCCAGGCCCGTGCTGGGCCCACCAGCCAAGAAAACCTCCCCAAAGCACAGGTACCAAAAGGTGTGGTGGCGAGCTGGGAAGAACCGGGAGGGCGCGGCGGGCCAGTCAGCAGAGAGGACTGGGCTGAGGAGTACCTGGTCAGTGACGTCATATACCACGATGATGCCGTGGGCTCCCCGGTAGTAACTGGAGGTGATCGTCCGGAACCGTTCCTGGCCAGCTGTGTCCCACTGGGAGACAGGCGTGGGGGCACTGTCAGGCCGGCTCCCTGCCTGCCCCAACCCCACCCGGGGCACTGCCTCTGCCACTCACGATCTGCAGTTTGATGGTCTTGCCGTCCAGCTCGATGGTGCGGATCTTGAAGTCCACACCGATGGTGCTGATGTAGCTTTCTGTATACGTGTCATCCTGAAAGGCCGGGCAGTCAGGCGGCCGAGGCCCTAGTGGCAAGCCTCCTGCCGGCTGGCTTTCCACCCCAGCTCTCACACCCCACTCTGCCAGCCCTGCCCCCGCCCAGGGGCACCCCTCTTCCCATGGCTGGCTGGCCAGGACCCCAGCTGAACACACTGACGCTTCTTACTCACAGCAAACCGCAGCAGGAGGCAGGACTTGCCCACGCCCGAGTCGCCGATCAAAAGCAGCTTAAATAGGTAGTCACTGGGGAGAGAGGACAGGTGTGAGGGCAGGCAGGGGATCCATTCGGGAGGGCAGAGATGCCCACCAGTTCTGTCAGGTGGTCCCCACAGAGCCCCCTAAAGCCCTAAAGAGCCTGCAGCTTGCTGAGGGGGTCCCACCTAAAGCGGGGTAAGACTTCCTGAAGGTCGCCCATCAGCAGATGATGAGCAGCCTACAACCCCAGCAGGCTCCATGACTCTGCACTCAGGGCTCCAAGAACCCCCACCACATGCTCCAAGGTGCGCTTGGTGGGGCAGGGGAGGCCCCACAAGTAAAGCCAGAGCTTCATCTTAACCCCCACCCCGCAAGACCCTCACTGCCAGCCAGGGGACGGGGGACTCAGAGCAAGGACGCTACACAGGGTTCCTGTGGCTGCAAGTCCTTTCTGGGAGCAGCCGGCCTTGCCATTCTCCCGTGGAGCGGTGGGGGGTTTGCACCTGCTGGCCGACCATGGTGCCACCAGGGTCCCTCACGGCCTCAAGGACAAACTATGCACAACCTGGTACGAAGCCACCAAGCCGAAGTGGCCAACAAGTGGCTAAGGCTACAGTGGCTACCAGTGAGCTCCCACTTGGTTCTGTGCTGAGGGCAGTTCTTCTCCGAGGACGCACGGCTGGCCACGGCGGCCCTGGGACCCAGGCCTGGCCCACCCCAAAGCCTCCCTGCTCTGTCCCCCTCCCCTTGGGAGCCCAGGGCCGGTTCCCGGGCAGGCCACACAGCACCGCAGCGCGGGGCTGGCAGTGAGCAGGCACTCGGCCCGAGTGGGGCCCGCTTCCCGCCGGGGGTGTGACCAGAGGCGAGCCAGGGGCGTTTGGAGGGGCACAGAATCCCACTGAGCGTGGAGGCGCACCGCCCTCCTCGTGGCGGGAAGGGGTGTGCCGGTGGTGGCGGGG